CGTTTGTGTTGGATTTCTTTTCTCAATTAGATTAATGGCAGTCGCCGGAGAGAAAAGGGGTTGATGTCACAACAATAGTGTTTTGGGTTGCTGTTTGAGAAAGAGATAAGGGTTGATGTCGCATGTTCTTGTGGTGTTTTGGGTTATTGTTTGAGAAAGAGATAGGGGTTGATGTCGCAACAGAGATGGCGGAGAGAGAGGGAGAAAGAGATAGTGGTGTTTGGGTTGCTGTTTGAGAAAAAGATAGGGGTTGATATCGCATGTTCTAGTGGGCTTGGTAAAAAAATAAAAACTGGTAAACGAATCTGGATACAGGTACTTTAGTTAGACCTGTATCCAAATCCATTTTTTACTACAACGTTAACACTAATATAAATGAATTTTGCTATGAAAGGATGATTGTACGAACGTCAGAGGAAGATACGCAAAAGACATTGATTTTATGATTGTTATTTTAATGAACTATGAATTATGATTATGATTATGATTATAATGAATGAACTTAAAAACCATGAAATAGAAGTTAGCAGATGATAGGCTAGTAGAGGTTCTTAAATACCAACCACGACCTAAAAGATTTAATCACTTCAAAAGTTAAGTTTTGAACTAATCGTTGATTAATTCTTTGGATAAGAATCTGCACCCACTTGGTTTTATTGTAATAAATAAATAAATAAATAAATAAAATAAATAAATTATAAATATAAATATAAAATCTCAAAAGATTCATTTTGATTGAGTCCATTATGTCAGTAGGGGTTATGCTAGTAAGGCAAAAGAGTAGTAACCCATTTAATGACACTCCTGCCTCCATCGTTGCATCTGCTTTCATTTCCACCATACAAAAAGTTAAGCTTAAACCACGATTGTAAACTCTTTCAAGAATTCCTTGCTTCTCATCATCATCATCTTCACTGTTTTGTTTTGCTTCTTGGCTTCCTGATATTCTTACAGTGAGTTTTCCTACATTGCCCTTGTGGTACTACACTAGGAATTCTATAGAAGAAAGGAAAATTGATAAGAAGGGGCGAACTTTGTGAACACAGCTAGAATACATGATGTTATACCCTTTCGCAAGCTCAGCGACTTGAAACCGAGTACTGTCATTAGTAGGCGAAGCCGGATTTTCCTCACGTGATTTTGGAGGAAATAAACAGCACCGGGACGTGACATATGTCATTCTTGGTGTCTGTTTTAGTATTATATATATATTGATTAATTGATATTGATTACTGATTGATTAAGAGGTTAAGAACTTAAGATTCTTATTTCATGCAAATAAACAAATTAATATAAGTGCAAGCGATTTTCTTAAAAAATGTTGAAAGAAGTCAAAATTCCATAAAAAAGCCCCTTTTATCAAAATTCCCCTTCTACCGTCCACATTAGCAGAAAAAAAAAAAAAAATTGACCTATCTTTTTTTAATGAGTCAACACAAAATCGCTGACTCAACTAGCGGTTGAACTAGTTGAACCACTAACTGAGATAGCGGTTTCTAATCAAATGTGCAAATTTGTTTGTTTCCTTTGCCTTCTCATCCTCAATTAAAAAAAATAGAGCATCACTTAGCAAACCTTGCTTCCGGGATTCCTATGCCATATCCTCTAGCAAAGTAGCACATCCAAGACCCACCCTCACATCAACCACCAGTAACTGTGTAGGTGTAGGTTTCTTTCAAAACCAAAGGAGGAAGTTTGTTTCAAAGAAAATCAAGCAGATATGAGAAAGAAGCTAAGATTGATTGTTGGTTGTTTTCCACCTCCCAGCGCAGCTCCTCGCCACCACTACTAGCGGTTAATTTAGCCTTAAATTCATTTTGCTTATTCAATTGACGTATAATAACTGTATGAATTTGATTATTGCATTTAAAAACCTGATCCCGCGGTGTATTAAATCTAGGTTCGTTTGACATTTTTTGATCCAAAATTATGAGTTTATTATTATTGTATTTTAAGAACTACTAATTGAATTAGCGGTTTTATACTTAAGAAAACCGCCAATTTAATTAGCGGTTTAGAGATGATTGAAAAAAGGCCCGTTGATATGAATGGTAATTTGGGAATTTTGTTAAAAGGGACATATATATTGAATATTTACATATTTACAGCATTATTTATGAAAATCACCCTATAAGTGCGGAAATAATTTTTAACGGCAAACTTATTTTATAGCGATCACAGTGACCAGTACACCATTACATACTACTTACACAGTTGAATAAAATGACATTTATACTCCTAGATAATTATTTTTTTCTGAAAAAAAAAAATATATTTTTTTTAAGGAAACCCCTAGATTAATATTTGTTGATCATTTCTACCTTCCCATTCCTTCCTCTTCTCCCTCATCCAAACAAGGGAAACTGATTTTCTTCTCCCTCATCTATCTCACTCTCCAAAGTTTTTCAACGTCGTCGCCACCCTCAACGCCATCCCGTTCCCTCATCCGCCAAGCATGTTTTTTGTATTACTATTTATTGGGTTTTGTTTTACTCTAAATTCACATCCTTCGTAATTCGCATGGGGTGGTAGAATTGGATTACTGTAGTTTTGCATTTGTACACTAATTTTGCATTCAAAATCATATGTAATTTGGAATGCTATTTACTTAATTTGATATTTAATCTTAATGTTCATTTTGAAATCCTTTGATCGTGGTTCCTCTAACCTAGGATGGTTCTTCTAATTAGGATGATCTAGGAAAAAAAACCCAAAAAATAAGGATGTTTTTAATTTAGTTATGATGTTTTCAAATAGTGAGGATGGTTTTTATATAGTTTGGATGTTTTTCTTGAGTTCAGATGTTTTGGATGATTTACGATGATATTGCAAATGTTTTTTTTATTTAGTTATGATATTTTCAAATAGTGTGGATGTTTTTATATAGTTTGGATGTTTTTCTTGAGTTCAGATGTTTTGGATGATTTATGATATTGTACAGTTATGATGTTTTTTATTTAGTCATGATGTTCTCAAACAATGTGGATGTTGTTATATAGTTTGGATGTTTTTCTTGAGTTCGGATGTTTTGGATGATTTACAATGATACAGCATAGTTAGGATGTTTTTGATTTAATTATGATGTTTTCAAACAGTGTGGATGTTTTTATATAGTTTGTATGTTTTTCTTGAGTGCAGATGTTTTTGATGATTTACGATAATATTGCACAGTTAAGATGTTTTTCTTATTTAGTTATGATGTTTTCAAACAATGTAGATGTTTTCATATAGTTTGGATTTTTTTTTTAGATGTTTTTGATGAGTTGGTTTTGCGGAATGAGCACTGAAGGAATATCAAATGGGAAAAAGTTCACCGAAAAACGTGCTCAGAAGTTTATGTTGTCATCTTTGATTGACAAAGAATTTAATGTTTCTCTACCCACAATTGCATCAAATATGTTATCTCACCTTAAGAAGCACTTTGACAAACTTTCTATGGTATGCTTGATGTTGAAGAAAGCTTTATTCTATCTTTAGAAAGTATTTGATTCTGTTTGAAGACGTCGTGTTAAATTATCATCGCAGGAAGAGAAGTTCGAAGTATTCAAGAATACGAATTTACTCGAATGTTAAATGTTGAGACTAATGGTTACAATCTAATACCCGACTTCAGAGACCCCGAAAAGGTTTCATCTTATAACTCCTATTGACCAGAATCTTAATATATACGTAAAACACCCTTGTCGTTCTTACAATTTTTTTTTAGCCAAATTTTATTTCTCAGGAGGATAAAGATATGTATAAGCAGGGAACAGGCATCTACATCGGGGGTTATACCATATACGCTTCAACAGTATCTTGACGCTAAAGAATTGGAAACAGAACAATGTGGCGTCTTCTGTGACATCCTCATACGTAAATTTCTGAATATTAAATTTATTGATCCATTGGTAAGTTAAACATCCCATGTGTCTTTTTCGCTTTATTTATTTTGATTCTCGCTTCATTACGCACAACCCATATCTTTGTTTGATTTGGATTGGAATTCTTACAGAACGAATGTCCTTTTCCGGGACTTTAAACTTGATATTTTAAGTTGTGCTCCATTTGTGAAAATAACACAACACAAGTAAGTCTTATTGCCTGTTGGATTGATATGTATCGAACCACAAAAGTTGACAAGTTCTGGCAGCTATTTTAACATGGGCCATCTTAGTGGTCTTTTTTTGTTAATCCAGATTAACATAGGAGTCCATGACGATCATCACTTCTTTTCAATTCATGTTGAAGTTAAACATCATGCGATCTACGTCCTGCATTCGCTTTATAGCACATGAGAAAGACAACAGAGATGATCACCTGGATGAGAAGATTGTCCAAGGTTATAAGGTCGTCCAATATATAGGATTTATATAGCTAAAATAGGATGGAATATTGGATGGAGATGTAGTAGCTCATAGGATCAAAGCAGGTTAGTTGAAGTGGAAGAGTGCTAAGGAAGTTTCATGTGATCCTGACATGCCTTATAGATTGAATGGTATATTCTACTGAACGATAATTAGGTATATATTGTTATATGGTACCGAATATTGGGCTGTGAAGCATTATCACGTGCATAAGATAAAATGTGAGAGATGCGTAAATCACGATGGGTGTGTCGCCATACAAGAAAATGATCGATTGAGGAATGAGATAAATAAGAAGACAGTAAGGATTACTTCCATTGAATAAAAGATGAGGGAAAATTGCCTAATGTTATTTGGCCATGTACATTAGTGGAAAAAAAGGATTTGTAATTTGCAAAACTATGTTGGTTACAATAAACCTATTTGTAACAAGCATAACAAGATTCATTAACAATAAAGTAGCATAATTAGTAGAATATAGATGGTTTTTGAAACGAGCAAGAAACTATCAGTTACAAATAATATAACTCCTTTACAAATATTGTATTTTTTGTAACTGACACCTTTTGCCCGATATAAATTGCTCGGTCAAGGAAAATATAAATTTCCATTCGTAACCTACATTTTGGCCATTACAAATAAATGTTTATTTAAAAAAAAAAAAAAAAAAAAAACGTCAATCTTCACTTCTTCATTTTGACGCTAGCCTTCACCTATTTAATTGCTTCCTCTCTTAGCTTCCACCCTCTCATCTCTCGTCTCCACCGCTGAATGACCGTCCCAGCCGTCTTCTCATTAATTTGTTGAAGAAATGCTTACATATTGTCCACTAATCAATGTACAATTAAAGAGATTGATCAATTCGAATTATTGGCAGTTTTATACAAGGCGAAAAAGGAGGAGAGGACAGTGGATGGAACTAGCTTGTATTTGGTTAGTTGGTCACATGTCTCAGTGAATTTACCATAAACTAGCAACATCTGTTTATCAGTACACAACTTCAAGAATTAGCTGTCTAGCCGTAAAAGTTCTACTACGTATAATAGTAGTTTTCTAGCATTTACACAAACACAAACTCCAGTTTCAACAACAATCTTTCAACCTAAATCAAACATCTCCACCTGAGGCCCTAAACCGAGTTCAATCAAGAACCATTTTACTTTACAGCTTAAGGAACAAGAATCGAGCAGCTACCCCATTAAAGCATTCACATAATTATGCTCGAGATGTCATCTCAATTTCAAATTGTCCATCTGCACAACATAGCACAAACTAGCTTATGAGAAACGTACATAGCAGCGCACTCAAAATCAATGATGCAGTAAAGGTACTCACCTCTTAGATTAATGGCTCGATTTGCTTGAGAATCAGCAGCAGAATTGAACTCCTGCAGACAACATAATGTCAATCAAATAGCATCACCTAGGTTTGGGAATGTATCATTCCACTGGCCCTAATGTTGTGTACAGATTATATCACCTTCCCTCGACTAGGAACTTCAGTAAATAGTTTTTGTTAAAAGTAATCATAATATCAAGCTTCTTTACTTTTCTTCTTGTGTGTTTTTAATTCCCCTAATTTGGAATATTATAGATGGGGCTAGTTACCATTACCAACGATATCAAGATCCTTTGTCAAAAAAATAAAAAATAAAAAATAAAAAATAAAAAAAATAAAAGCGATATCAAGATCAAGATTTTGCGTTGGACTGAGGACTCATAGAATCATACATCCCTACAAGTTAGCTAAAATATGATACAAACACTTTTGTAATTGATATACATCTCAACAATAATATCACTTCTGGCCGATCTTTCAAAAATAAAATGACTTTTAAATAATCCTAAAATAATACCATCTCCAGGGTGTTCGCTTGTTGCTTTAAATAGAGAAAAAAATAAATAAATATATAAATAAATAAAATAAAATACATGTTAGCCAGATTTTTTTTATTCCTCCCGTTCTCCACCGCCACCATTATATCCCTTTTTGACAATCACCCATGAACCTAATCTTACATCAGCCCTAACTCCCTATCCGGCCACCCACATACAAACCAAACCAACACCGTTAACCCCACCTCCTTTATCCCACCTATACTATCTCCACCCCCCGCCACTTCCCACCCCGCGCGCGACTGGATCAACTGCACTCTCCACCAACACCGCCGCAAACAACCAATGTCTCATCATCGACCTCTGGTCATTCCCACAATAAATTGCAAACCTAGCCCATGAACCCAACCATCCCATCCTTTCCTCCCTGCCATAGCCCATCCCACAAACCTGTTACAAGGTGAGGTACAACGGTGTATGGAGGTGCAGTGGCAGTAGTCAAGGAAGAAAGATAGAGTGAAGGGCAATGGAAGAGGGAGGGAAGAGAGAGAGAGAGGTGTTCTTCCAAAAAAAAAGTTATTTTTTATAAAATAAATATTAAATTTTAGAAATCCAAACAAATAAACTAGGGACACATGTCATATAACTAGCTAAACCAGTGACTATTTTAGGATAATCAAAACTTCTACCCCCTCCGTCCCACAATAATAGATACAAAATAAATAAATAAACAAAAAAAAAAAAAATGTTAGCCAGATTTTTTTTTTATTCCTCCCTCTTCTCTACCGCCACCATTATATCCCTTTTTGACAATCACCCATGAACTAATCTTACATCAGCCCTAACTCCCTATCTGGCCACCCACATACAAACCAAACCAACACCGTTAACCCCGCCTCCTTTATCCCGCCCATACCATCTCCACCACCGCCACTTCCCACCCCGCACGCAACTAGATCAACCGCACTCTCCACCAACACCGCCGCAAACAACCAATGTCTCATCATCGACCTCTAGTCATTCCCACAATAAATTGCTACCCAACCCACAAACCTGTTACGAGGTGAGGTACAACGGTGTACGGAGGTGCAGTGGCAGCAGTCAAGGAAGAAAGATAAAGTGAAGGGCAATGGAAGAGGGAGGGGGGGAGAGAGAGAGGTGTTCTTCCAAAAACAACAAAATTATTTTTTATAAAATTAATATTAAAATTTAGAAATCCAAAAAAATTAAATAGGGACACTCATATAACTAGCTAAACCAATGACTATTTTAGGACAATCAAAACTTCTACTCCCTCCATCCCATAATATAGTTCCTGTTTTCCTATTTTGGAGATTCAAAATATTGTTCCTGTTTCCATTTTTAGATAGTATGTAAAGACCATTATACTCTCAATTTTTAACTTTATTAATTGTACTTCCTAAATTACCCTTGAATTTTGCACATGCCTTGTACTTTTTTCCACTCTCTATCTAACTTTTGTCTATAATTGTACTTTTCACTTTTATTAATGTACTTTATCCACTTTCTCTACCTATTTCTTAAATACTGTGAAAAAACACAAACAGGAACTATATTATGGGACGGAGGGAGTATTTATTTTTAAAAGATCGGCCAAAGCTGGTATTATCTTTACAATTTTTTCAAATATTGCCTGATGCCAATGAACATATTTAACCTTAAAAATTGTTAAGTATACTGAATATAACATTTAAAATTATAAAATCTTGATATTATGAAATTATATATCAAGAAGAATTTAACAAGACATCACATTACTAGATTTACACCACGATATATGGTTGAAGAGAAGTGTGAAAAGTGTCAAAAATGCAAATGGTGCAAAATTTAGGGAATGGAGGAAGCATAAAATTTTTGTTTATTTAATCTTTTTGGTATGAATATAAACATCCACAAGATCAATTGTAATAATTATAGCATACAAGAAAAGGGCAAAAAAAATAAAAAAAGTTGTTTACACTAGTTCTATGTGATTTTGTACAATCCTATACCGATCCTATGTGATTTTGTACAATCATATGTGGTCCTATAACGATCCTACCTACTTAATGATTCTACAAGCGATCAAGATTGTTTTTGACATTTTTGGATTGTGAGATACTACAAGCTACAACCTTTCGATCCAGACATGATTTAACAACTAAGATCATGACATTGCAAGTTTATTTCTGCAACTCCCTCCCTTTTTTTTTTTTTTTTTTCTCCTTAATCTAATTTTTTTCTTTCACCCACTCACTTTTTTAATAAAGAAGTCTATAGTGATTAGGTACATTAGAAAGGGAGGGGGTGGGGAGGAGTAGAAAAGATGAGAATAGGGGGCAATATCCCTTGCTTTGCAACACTTAGACAACTAGCTATCAGCATTGCAATAGGAATACCCTCATGATGATGGTTTTCTAATATTTCCTTCTTTACCTTAATCTAAATAAAAAGAAGAAAAGGCTATCAGACATGAACAACTTCCTCAACCCACATGATGCACAATTTGGCCCAATTTTAACTTTAAAAAAAAAAAAAAAAAAAAAAAAAATCACCATAGTAAATGGTTCTATCATACTATAGGAAAATGCACACAATGTAAACAACTTTTATAACATTAAAGTCACTTTAAACAAAAAATATGGATTGCACAAAATCTGAAAGCAATCAAAATTTATCCCTGAGATCAAGCACTCACCCTAGGAACTTGTTCAATAGTAAATGACTGAAACTGTTTCTTCAGTTGTAATGCTTCCTTGCACAGGTTGGCCATGTTTTCATTTTTGGTTTTCCATTTACCCAGAATCTGTTCAATTCAATATGGTTGTCATTAGAGAGAGAGAGAGAGGGGCACATTTTATGAATAAAAGGTGTACTATATCACTGATATGAACCCTGCCAACACTATCCTTTATTTAATTCGAGTACCTTAATCACCTTTAAAAAAAAAAAAGTGTACGACCACAGCATTTCACATCGATATACAACCGCATAATTTGGTGCTTGAAATTAGAAAGGAAGACAATATTAGTACAAATGCAATTTGATACCTGATTGCAAACCAGCAGAGAGTCCCCTCGAACATTAACATGTTTAAATCCTTTCTCAAGAGCTATTCTCAAACCTAAAATCACTGATCGATACTCAGCAACATTGTTAGTAGCAATTCCAACACCTTCACGCAAAAGCCAAACCTGCCCAAAACATGGTTATGAAATTTGAAAAAAAAAATAAAAAATAAAAAATAAAAATAAAAAAAAATAAAAAAATCTTAGGATGGAAATCATAAAATACATGAGATGCTCCATACACCATACCTGACTTCCACCGTTGGCACGCAAAATAGCTCCGGCACCAGAAAGTCCAGGATTTCCTTTTGAAGCTCCATCAAATTCAATTGTACAAGATTGCTGCACATATATAACAAAAACTATCTCTGGTTACAGCATAAATGAAGACACCCTCATTTGGTCATAAAGCATCCATTCTATGTGCCAAATTTTACTTGAGACAACATAAATCACCAAGAGACCAAAGAGAAAGACAACTATTTTGCGAGGGCCTTTACAATACAAGGGGGGCTATTCAAGCCCAATAAGCAGAGTAATCTATTAGCAGCCAGATATCATCTCTAGTTTATGTAAAACGTTCACAATGTACTAACTATTTGCATTATTTTAATAGCACATCCAATAGTAACCATTACTTGACAATACTTGGCACAATTTTCCAAACAGTATTTTTGCCTGCATCACTCTGCATGTACATATCTATCATCTCTTCATATTAGTTCATGAGAGTATTCTCATCTCCATTCTCACCAAAACTAGGACTTTTAGGCTTTTAGCCCATGTATCACTTTTCCTACTTTATTTCACCTTTTATTATCTACTCTACTTTACTAACTACTCTTTAGTGAATTTTGGACAAAAACAACCCTTGGACCAATAGGAACTTTTTTTTTCAACCGTGCTCCTTCAATGAGCTACTAAATAGTTGGCCCCTAAGTCCTAACCATTTCAAAACTATTGACCACCTTTTCATTTGAGGGCTCAATCACTGAAGCTGATGACAGATCCCAATAAATTAGTTCAGTCTCTACAGTGTGCACAATTTTCAAAGCATCCAAAGCTCTCCTAAAAAGTGCTTTGACAATGTTATGAGAAGCTGACCTACTTGAACGTACTAAATTTCTTCAGAAAACACGCAGCTGGTTTCAAATTGATACAATAAGCTGGTTTAAAATCATTGGCTGAAACTTTCAGATCTTCCTCCTAATGGTGAGGAAAGTAAGGAATTTGGATGCCACTCCATACTTTCCATAGCTTCCTCAAACTTCCCATTCTTGAACTTAAAAATTAGATCCATCTTGAAAGACGTAATATGATCTAAGAAACCTCTAGGACTTACCAAGTTTGAGATTTATTTTACTAAGTTATCATCCTGATTATCCCAGTGAGATTCCCTTAGTTGATTCACATGCATCTCCGGAAACCATGACTAGTTTCCCAACAAATAAAGCCCACTCAACACGATGCAAGAGTTCTAAGGAAAAGACACACGACCACAAGACACCAAACACAAATTCACAAAATTAACAGTAAATTCTGTGTAACTCTAACAGTTTAAGCATACCCTATTCAGGTTATAAAAGGAAAGTATTAGAACCATGACTCTGTTTCTGAACCTGATATCCAAAAAGGAAGCTAAATATAGCAGAGCAGCAGTGTCAGAAAGAAAGAAGGAAAATAGATGATAATGTTAAAATACTGGTCTACAGTAGAAACAGTGAGTAGCCAGAGAACAGAAAGGGTTAACTGGCCCTTGCCTATCTCCTATGAATTCGAATGGGAAAAAGGGAGGGTGTTTTGTAAGATTATTCAAAAGAGGTTTTTCAAGGGAGAGTATGTTCCTCAATTTCTTAACAAATTAAATGACATGAAGAGGCTATTGGAGAGACAACACCTTTTTGGTAACAATATACTCTCCAAATAACTTTAAACTAAATTTTTTAGATTTTCACTTAGTCTTGAGCAAATGTTTAAGTGGCTGAGTGACAAACAGACAAAAATATCAGGAGCTAAGGAAAAGAATTTACAGGATACAAAGGATGAGAAATTTAAGAAGATATAGGTGCTAACTATGCTTGTCTGCTTTAGCTTAAGCAATCGAGATTCAAGAAATGAGGCGCTTTGAGAGTGGAATGATAGGATCAGCTCTAAAGTGATGATTATATTTTATTGTGTAAGAATGATCTGATCTTAGTATTGAAGGGTTGTTTTGTTAGGTTTGGAGGTCTAGATGAAGGAACCCTTCCTAGAAAGCCTAGAAGCTGACCTTTTCCTTCGATTCCTTGACTTTCCCTAATGAGTAGTAATAGCTAGCCATATTTTGAATCATTAAGTACCCTTCCGGCCATTTCCCAAAGGAGGCTTATATAGAATTCCTTTACTAAATGAAATGTAAATAGCTAGTCAAATTCTGAATCATTTACTACCCTTCCCTCAAAGCAAACATGATCACCATCCCTTTCCTAACGAAATGTAATAGATAGTCAAATTTGAAATCATTTAACACTCTTCCCCCAAAAGGAGGCATGATAACCATGTATTTCCAAACAAATTGCAATAGCTGGTCACATTTTTTTTAGAATCATTCAATACCCTTTTCCCAAAGGACCATAGCTTGAGAAGTGGCTCAAACTTGATTAGAATTCTACAGAAAAGATTGGGATAGTATGAAGGTTCGTGATGTCTGATGAGTGTCATTCATGACACTCCAAGAGTAGTGTTTTTGTTTGTTTTTCATCTCTTTCCATAGCTTTATTCCTAAATAATGGCTCACTTCAGGCTTAGTTTTGCTCCCTTGAGCTTTAGTTTCCTTTTTCTTCCTTATTTCATGTTTTCGTTCATTTTAGTAGTTATTCTTTTCTTTTCTCTTTTATTTGATTAAGGTGAGGCTCGGGACCCGTTCACGATGATTTTCCGGGTTGAAAGAGACTTTTGGTGCAAGGTCCTAGCAAAGTAATGGCAAACTCCAAGTCCTAGTTCCTATGCTCTCATGCTGCACTCTCATAAAATTGGTTGTTGAAGTCACTACAAATTGCATATTGAAATTGCCATGTTTCCCGACGCTCGCGTACTCATCCTACATTGTGCGTACCGGGATGCGCGGGCGCGCAGGTTGTCCGCGTGCATATATGTGGAGAGGGCGCGCCCGACTAGACCTATTTCGGGTATATGCCTTACTTTCTTTCTTGTTAGTTATACTATAAATAGCTTTTCCTTTCATTTTCTAAAGAGACTTCATTTTAGCAAATTTTAGAGGGATTTGTTAGGCTAATTAGAGAGAGAAAGTGTAGTGTGGGAATATATGGATATAATTGGTTCTAAATTAATTATATCTAATTAAAGAAAGTTAAGGGTTAAATAAATTGAAAGGAGAAGAGAATTTGTAGGAGAGATAAGAGAAAAGAAAATACGCTTTGTTGTTTTCCTCTAGAGTTGTCGTTCTTCTTCAATATTACCCTCTTAATTGGGCAATTAGCTTTAAAATGACCAAGCTCACCACATTTGAAACATGGCCTTTCTACAAGAGGTCTAGATTTTGATCTAAACTTTCCTCCCTTGCCTCGTCCTCTATCCCTGAGCTTGTTCGTTATGTTCTCTTCCATTACAAGACAACATTCCACTTCTAGCAACCTTTCGAAGGTCATCCACTAAAAGCGATGTTCTAGTTTTATCCATGGTTTAAGTATCACCCACAAACATTAATGTTTGAACCAAATTTTCATAGGATTCGCTAATGAAAGCAATAACATGATTGCTTGGTCTTCCTCATCTACCTTCACATCAATATCCTTCAAGTCTGACATAATCCTATTAAACTTATTGATATACTCCTAGATTGAGGTGCCTTCTTCCATCTTGCATGTATACAATTTGGATTTTAAGTAGATCCTATTTGTCAGAGTTTTCGTCATGAAATTTGTCTCTAACTTTGACCACACGCCAGCGGCTGTTGCTTCTTCATTTACCAAGAATGTAACATCCCTCTTAAGGCATAAGATTATAGCCACTCGTGCTTCAAGGTCTAACTCTTCCCAATCTTCATCCTTCATGTCCTCGGGTTTTTGTTCATTTCCCGCCAATGCCTTATGCAACTTTTGTGATATAAGCAAATTATTCATCTGCATCCTCCAACAAGAAAAATCGTTTTTACCATTAAATTTTTCGATTTCATATTTCTCAACTTTAATCATTCCACTAGTAGATGCCATTATAATTAAATTCAAAATCAAGAATTTTACCACTTAAGATTTTGATATTTATACCAATTGTTAGAGCTATTGTTGCGGAAATATAGCTTTTACTAGATAATATGAAATCTATACCTCACAAATAAAAATAGTTTAGGATAAACAAACAACCACTATGAAGAAAATAATAAATGTAATAAAATAAACTTTCTTAATGCTAATAACTTTTTTGACGTGAATAATGATTGACTTGTTAATTCTACGTTACAACCTAAAGAATTTATATCTTCCATGCTCTAAATAAAGAAGGGCTCAATTTCTTTTGCTAAGGAAAACAACAGAGCATATTTTCTTTTCTCTTATCTCTCCTACAAACTCTCTTCTTTTAATTTATTTAACCTATAATTTCTTTAATTAGATATAATTAATTTTGAACCAATTATATCCATATATTCCAAGAAGCTAGTTTTGTCTCAAATGACGAGAATGATTATTGTTACTCAGAGAACAATGCAATGAGATATCTGGTAAATGGATGCTTGATTCGGGTGTATCTCACCATATGTGCCCAAACAGGAAGTGGTTTACAACTTATTAGAGTTTGGATGGTAATACTGTTTTGATGGGAAACGATCATGCTTGTAAGACTGTCAGGTAAGTCAAGATGCATGATTGAACAATAATAACCTTGAAGGATGTGAGACACATCCCAAATTTGCGGAAGAACCTTATTTCTCTTGGTATATTAGAGAAAAAGGTTACAAAATAGTCTGGGAGAATTGAGTTTTAAAAGTTGTTTGTGGTTCCTTGGTAGTGATAAGGGGATTCATCACGGTAATCTTTATCCTCTTTTGGGGACAACTAGCAGTTGGAATCGATGGAAGTAAAGACCAAACATAATGCACAAGGATATGGCACATGTGCCTCGGGCATATGTCGGAAAAGGGTATATCATTGCTTAGTGGACAAGGTTTGTTGATGAACATGAAGAAGCCACAAATGTAATTTTGTAAGCATTGTGTGTATGGAAAAGCAAATAGGGTGAAGTTCTCTACAAGCAAGCACAAGAGAAGAGGGTTGTTAGACTATGTGCATACGGATGTTTGGGACCAGCTAAAGTTGCTTCCAAAGGTGGTTCCAAGTATTTTGTTA